ATACTCAATTTGTGCGGATTACTGCTGCTGCTGCTGTTGCTGCTGCGAGCGCGAGCGCTACGTTGATGACGATTCCGGCACGAGTGCGGCGCGCGCTGCATCAGCGCCAAACACAAACACTTGTGGTGACATGGTGGTGAGAGATTAGAGGGTGGGGGAGTTCAACAAACAAAATTACTTATCGATTATAAACGATAATAGCCGAATATAACAATTAGGACGACGTGTGCTAGGTATGCTCATTGATTGCAGAGAACAGAAATCGATTAATTCATCAATCATCAATCAATTCAACGATACATAACTAACGCAAACTCGCCAACTAGTGTACGCTGCAGGACCCATATCACTGAGAAGCGATCATATCATTACCAACTTATCATTGAACTCATTGCGATGACGAACTCGTTAGCCAACCAGTTTTAGCCTCGTTTTGCCATGAAAATTGATTAATTATCGATTTTTACTGGCGCACCAACGAGTTCATCATCATCGATCTACTGCACCAGATAACTGCGAATAATGATGATATTTGACCAATTTTTCCAGTAATTTAGTAACCAATGAATCGATCAAGAACGAAAGGGTAGCGTCAAGAGACAACACTTTCTTTCAATTATATTGAATAAACGATTGGAAAGGGTCTTATGGAAGGGGCAAAAAGCATTCATTTAGATCAATAGCACAGTAGGTTCATGACGACTTTTGGAAAAATGAGTTCAAAAATGAAAACAAACAAACTGAAATTAAAAACACTCGAATTCTTAGAGCGCGTATGAAGCAAAAACCGGTACCGTAAAATGTCGTGGTGGATAATGAGGAAGACAAACAAAACTGAGTCGGCTCAACGGGCTGGTAATTGAAACGATAATTCTGATAAAACCTAGAAAACAGAAGTGTTTTCCACTTGAAAAGATATATTCGAAAAATTAACCTCAAATATGTACAAACAGTATTACAAAATCAATCAATGCGTATCTAAAACACACGCTAGTAATGAGTACTAAGCATAAAACTTATTAAATTACTTCCCCTTGACGAAATTGAAAAAGGAATGGGTTGAAAACTAGAGAGGGTCGTAGAGGTCCATGTGCCGATTAGCAGATGAAATTGCGGCACAGACACGTAATTCGACGCAAAACTGCACTAAAACGCTGGCTACTGAAACTAAAACTGCTAAAATTGGGAAATTTGCGGTTATTAATAAACTCCGAGTTAATATGTGGCTAGCAAAAGGCACTTTGTGACAACGCAGAACTGAACTAGAACATGGTACAACGTCTTTGAGGCGAAAGCAATCGAATTCAACTGGATAAAACGGGTAATTAAGACATACCATATGATAATAACAGTTAACAACTAGGATTATTAATGTGCACAATCCATTTCTTTCAAAAGGCAATTATGAATGTGAACGTTCTGAATGCTATGTTTGACATAGAAAAGAAATAGCGAAAACCGCTTATATAATTCAGAACATCCCTGCTTCCAAATCAGCTAATATTCTTTGCTAGTTGACTCGACATACCACTTTGGCGTCAGATTGGTCGGACTTGTGCAGGATACGTCCTATGCCGTTTATTTCGCGATCTTGCCTCAAAAAATTGGCAAAGTTGCTTCCTAGCTTTTCAACTTTTGAGAACCACTGTCGGACTGAATTCTTTCAGGTTCACGTGAGGCTAGGAGGGGACAATAGCTTATATGGGAGAACGTCGTCGATTTATTGATTTACATAATTTGACGGAACATCCTTGATTTGGCAGCTTTCTTCTTAGTCTACTTGCTTTCCTTGCTTGCTAAGTGTTAAGAGAACAAAAAAACAGCAGGCAACCAATCTTTGAAAGGGAAGATGAATACGAATTGTAGTTGTGGAAAAAAACGTGAAGTAAACAGTATAGGACGTAAGCTGCCAGAACCTAGTCGATTTGGCGCCAGTGAGCAATGCCGAGTCAACCAGATAGTAGAAGCTGGTTCGGGCGTGGTGCCGCTCTTCGAATGTCCTGAGCTGCAGAAACCTCTCTGATCAATAGGCTACCGCAACGCGAGCACGCCCGCAGAACGCCTTGACTTTATGAAAGAAATGCAGTGTGCACCTTATATGAAGTAGGCTGGAAAGGCTGTGCGTATGATTACAACAAAAAAGGTACTTTTGTGTGAACCACCGGTTGAAACCGGAGAGTCTAGGGCAATAATGGACGAGATAGAATAGTAAAACAACACTAACATTTCAAAGTAAAAATTCTACCGAGCTACTTGGACCACGGCCGTCAATCACTTATGACGAGGTCGATTTCGTGGGCGAACCGTCTGATAGCCGTCGTTCTTCACCGAATCGCGCTCACTTGACTCC